AGTCACGAGAACCCAAAATACCCTGTAACACGACCCTCCCCGACCGAAAAAAAAAGACATACACACGACTCTCACCCTTACAAACGAAACACCGAAGTGCGAATATCGCTCACGATACAAACCCTACATCAAACGTCCACAGCGACCCTCACCTTTAACGACCGAGTCTATAAGAGCGAAAATGACTTGCACAGCTATACATTCTAGCTTGCCCACGAGCCTTAAGGTAAAAATATCTATTATCAGGTGTACTGGTCAGCCATAATGACACAGAGGCTTGCATTTTGGCGACAGAAATTGAATTGGGTTTCGTTCTCTTTACGGCGCGGTGGTGACACGGCGCGAAAGATGATGGAAGGGGAGTAATGATAACGGTGGTGATGAGGGTGATGAGGGTGGTGATGACTTTATTATCTGTGTCTGTTGTTCAGGTGTTTTTTTTTTTTCTCTCTCGATTTCTCTATTTTTCTTCTTTCGTTCTTTCTCTCTTTCTTTATTTATTTTTTTGTTTTTTTTCTTTCTTTTCTTTCCTTCTCTTCTTATTTTATTTCATTCTTTCTCTCCGCCTCGCTTCCTCTTTCGTTCTATCCTCATATTACTCTCTCTCTCTTTTCTATTTATTTCTATTTATTTCTCTTTTTTTCTTTCTTTCCTTCTCTTTTTATCTTTTTTCTTTCTATCTTTCTATCGGCATCGCTTACTCTCGCTCTATCCCCTTTTCTCTCTCTCTTTTTTATTTTTATTTTTTTTTTTAGACTCGGAAGGGAGATATAGAACCAAAATGGCGGATATTTCTGTATGGTGGGGAGTATGGTGCTTATGGTGTCAGAAGTCAGGGAAAAAATATTTTGTTATCCCATTATAATTTTTTTATAATTATTTTTGTAAGAGTCGAGTATAGTCTTCCTATTTTTATTTATACCGACAAATAGACAATAAAATGGCATATCAAGTAATTGTTTGTTATTGTTCCCGCATCTCTTTAATTTTTTGAAAATGATACTTAATGTGATAAAGAAGATGTATTGTATAGAACGAAAAAATACAGTTTATAAAGTATAATAGTTATTTATATTCTGTTTATGGTCCTTGTTTATTTTTCTGGTGTTTGTTTGTTTTTTGTTTTTGTTTTCATGTTCAATTCGCTTTGTTATGAAGAATTATTATGTTTGGATATGTTTTTTTTATGGCTTATTGTGATTCGGTTTATGTTGTTTTTTGTTTGTTTGTTTATATTATTTGTATGTTTATTTGTTTTTATGTTTTTTCCTTATTCATTTGTTGTTGGTTGTAATGATGAGGAAATCATGATAGGTATAAGGATAACGACAATGACGACGATAACAAAATTAACAGGAGTAATGGTAGTAATGATGATAATAATCATGACGTTTTTTACAATAAGGTTGTTCGTGGTAAGGTTATGATAAAAGCAACAACAGAGATGATGACATTTCCCTTTGCCTTGCTGTTCGGATTATCACTTGTTATGAGAAAAGCCTCCTAACCCCCCCCCCCTCCCCCGCAGGTGTGGTTCCAGAACCGGCGCGCGAAGTGGCGCAAGAAGGAGCACACGCGGAAGGGCCCGGGCCGCCCCGCCCACAACGCCCACCCGCAGACGTGCTCGGGCGAGCCCATCCCGCCCGAGGAGCTGGAGCGCCGCGAGCGCCTCCGCCGCGAGAAGAAGCTGCTCAAGCAGCTGGAGCGGCAGCAGCGCAAGCTGGCGCTCAAGGGCGTGCACGTCAGCCTCGAGCAGCTGCGCCGCGAGTACGAGTCGCAGCACAAGCCGGAGCCCGAGATCGACGTGGTGGGCGACGCCGACGACTCCGACGACACGCGCGACTACGCCGACGACGGCCCCGGCGGCGACTCGTCCTCGTCCTCGCGCGAGCCGCCCGCCTCCACGCCCACGCCCGCGTCGCCCAAGAGCCCGCCCACCACCACCACGGCCGCCACGCCGCCGCCCAAGCGCCCGCGCCCCTCCACCTTCTCCATCGCGTCGCTGCTGTCGCTGTCGGAGCCGTCGGCCGAGGGCGCGACGCCCCGCCCGCCCCCCCGCCGCACGACCCGCCGCCAGCCCGCTCGGCCTCGCCCCCGTGGGCGCCCTCGGCCCTCGCGACGCCTCCTCGCCCTCCGCCCGCCTCGCCCGCGCCCGCCGCCTCGCCGTCCATGGCGCCCGGGGGGGCGGCCTCCCCTCCCCCGCGGGACGGCGACGGGGGCGCCCGCGCCTCCTGCCGGCGCTCTCGCTGCCCGCCTCCATCAGCGTCAGCGTCCGGAGACCCACGCCCTCGCCCGACGGGCGCTAGCCCCCCCGCGCCCGCCCCCTCCCCCCGGCGGGCGGGCGGCGCCCAGGGGTGGCGGAGGGGGAGGGGGGAGGGCCAGTCCATGAGGAGGCCGAGGGAGGGAGGGGCCCCCCCCCTTCCCCCTTCTCCCTTTTCTCCCTCTCTCCCTCCCCCTCCTCCCCCCCCCCCGGGGTGGCGCCGGCGAGGAGCAACGGGTCTCGCGAACAAGCTTTAGCTGCTGAACGAAAAGAAAACGAAAAAAATAAAGAGAATACATAAATATATAAATAAAATAAGTTTTAATTGAATAAAAGATAATAATAAACCGTGTGCTTGTACATAGTCCGTGTAGACTTCGAGTATTCCCAAAGTTGTGTGATATATAGAAAAAAATAATAAAAAAAACATAGACAAACAAACACAAAACTCTTCGAAACGAAAGAGAAACTCGAAAAAGAAGAAAAAAAACTGAAAAATAATCACAATAATTAACAATATCAGAACGTTTTGAGACACGAAAGATAACGAAAACAAACAGGAAATTTATATGAATAATGGAAAAGAAGAAGAACAAACACAGAAAATATATGTGAAAAGCGAGAAAGAAAGAATTATGGAAAAGAAGAAGAAGAAGCAGAACATTTATGTGAAAAGAGAGAAAGAAAGAATTATGGAAAAGAAGAAGAAACACAGAAAATATATGTGAAAAGAGAGAAAGAAAGAATTATGAAAAAGAAGAAGAAAAAAAGTGTATACGGGCGTTTCTCTCCTGTATTTTTATCCGCGAATTTTTTGGTGGACGGGAGAGAGACAGAAAGCCTCTGTTGAGATCTTCTTTCGATGTGTCTGTCTGTCTGTTTGTCTGTCTGTCTGTCTGGCAGGCAGTGGAGTTCATTTGTCTTTTCTCATTCTCGCTGTGTCTCTCTCTGTTCGTCTTTTCTGCTCTCTTTCTCCTTTTATTCTCTCTTTCTCCTTTTATTCGCTCTTTCTCTTCTTTTCTTTCTTTCTGTGTATGTCTATCTGTCTATCTATCTGCCATTTGCACAATCTCACTTATCCGTTATCTTTATTTGTTTATCTTTCTGTCTCTTTCCTTTTTCTCTGTCTCTCTCTCTTTCTCCCTTTTCTCTTTGCTATCTCTTTATTCTCTCTGCCTCTCGTCTCCTCTTCCTCTCTCACTCACTCTTTCCCTTTCCCCTCTCTGCCCCTTTCTCGATCTCTTTTTCGTTCAGTCTATTTCTCTCTCTCTCTCTCTCTCTCTCTCTCTCTCTCTCTCTCTCTCTCTCTCTCTCTCTCTCTCTCTCTCTCTCTCTCTCTCTCTCTCTCTCTCACTCACTCACTCACTCACTCACTCACTCACTCACTCTCTCTATCTATCTATCTAGCTATCTGTCTATCCATCCATCTATCCACTTATCAGATCTACCCACATATCCATCTACCCATCCCTCTCTCGACCTTTCCTTTACCCTATCTAAATATATCTATCCATCTATCCATATACCCCATCTACCCACTTATCCATCCATCTTTCTATCTATCCACTTATCCATCCATCTTTCTATCTATCCACTTATCCATCCATCTTTCTATCTACCCACTTATCCATCCATCTTTCTATCTACTCCATCCATCTTTCTATCTATCCACTTATCCATCCATCTTCCTATCTATCCACTTATCCATCCATCTTTCTATCCACTTATCCATCCATCTTCCTATCTATCCACTTATCCATCCATCTTCCTATCTATCCACTTATCCATCCATCTTTCTATCTATCTTATCCATCCATCTTTCTATCTTATCCATCCATCTTCCTATCTATCCACTATCCATCCATCTTCTATCTATCCACTATCCACCCATCTTCCTATCTATCCACTATCCATCCATCTTCTATCCCACTTATCCATCCCATCTTTCTATCCACTTATCCCATCTTCCTATCTATCCACTTATCCATCCATCTTCCTATCTATCCACTTATCCATCCATCTTCCTATCTATCCACTTATCCATCCATCTTTCTATCCACTTATCCATCCATCTTCCTATCTATCCACTTATCCATATCATCCACTATCCATCCATCTTCCTATCTATCCACCTATCCATCCATCTTCCTATCTATCCACTTATCCATCCATCTTTCTATCTATCCACTTATCCATCCATCTTTCTATCTACCCACTTATCCATCCATCTTTCTATCTACCCACTTATCCATCCATCTTCCTATCTATCCACTTATCCTCATCTCCCTGGACGTGTTGAGCATCACACCAGCATCAATTAACATTTCATCTATAGGTAATAAGGATCAATTTATTTATTCGTGACATAATCTGTCGTGTTTAGCCCTATTTATGTTTCCCAGTGTGTAATATTGTCAAATGTATACGTAGCTATGAAGAAGAAAAAAATAAAAAATGTGTAAATATATATTACAGTTATATAATAAATTAATTTCTTTGTATTACCTTGCTTTGGAACCTAAGGGAATTGGGGGGGGGGGGGGGAGAGAAAGAGGGAAGGAATAAAGAAAGAAAGAAAGGAGAGAAAAGATAATGTGATCGAAGAGTCACAAAAAAGGGGGGATTTGGGGTACAATGAAGAGAATATGGAAGGAAAATGGGAGGAAAGAAATAAGAAAAGAAAGATCGAGTGAATGAAGAGAGTAAAAAAAAAAAAAAAAAAAAAAAAAGCTTTGGAACTTTAAGGGATTTTGGGTACAAGGAAGAGAAAATGGTAGGAAAAAAGGAAAGACAGAAAGAAGAAAAAATGAAAAAGTGATTGAAATGTCACACACACACAAAAAAAAAAAAAATAGACAGAAAATTATGCTGACAAATATGATAACAATACTAATGATGATAATGATAACCGTATTAATAATGATTTTGATAACTAAAACAAATCCTAATTCCAAGGATTATGGTGAATATGATATTGATAATAATCAGTAACATTAATGATACTGACAAAGTAATTATGATAACAACAAAGATAATAATCATAATGGCAATAACAATTATGATAAAAATGAAAATATTAAGTATAACGATAGCAAAAATGATGCAAATAATAATTATAACAACAAAATTAATAATGATGATGATAAAGATAAAAATACCAGTGATAGAGATGAAAATGATGATTATATTAAGAATGATAGCAATAGAAAAATGATGACAATGATAATGAAAATGAAAATTATAATGATAAGGATATCAATGATAATTATAATGATAATGATGTCAATGAAAATGATAATGATAATGATGTCAATGATAATTATAAAGATAAGGATGATAAAAACAAGACTAATGATTAGGATAGTAAATGTAGTCGTAATGATTAAAGTAGTTATGATAACCATCATCATCATCATAATAATAATGAAATTAGTATCAACAACAGTAATAGAAATATAGAAATGTGAATGATACTAATGCTAATAACAACTATTATCATAACAATGATAACACTAATAATGGATAATGATAATCATAATCATAATGATAATAATAATAATAAGGATAAACACAATAATAATGATGATGACAATAATACTATTGATGACAATAATAATGATAGTGATAATAATAATGATGATAATAATGATAATGATAATAATAATAATGATAATAGAAAAAAAATAATGATAATGATAATAATGATAATAACAATTGTAATTATAATGATAAAAATAATGATTCTAATAATGATAATAATAACAATGATAATGATGATAATAGTGATAATTATAACAATGATGATACAAAACATAATGATAATAGAAATAACAATAATGATAATAAAAAAATGATAATGATAATGATAGTGATAATAATAAGGAAAAATAATGATAACAGAAATAACAATGATAATGATAATAATGAACTGATGATCATAACAATGGTAATAACAGAAAATCATATTTATATCAACAATAACAAAAGCAATGATAATAATTATAACAACAGTGACAGCATTGATATTAATGATAACAATGAAAATAACAAAGAACAAATGTGAAAATAACAATAACAAAGAACAAATATGAAAATAACAATAACAAAGAACAAATTTGAAAATAACAATAACAAAGAACAAATATGAAGAACAATATGAAAAATAACAATAACAAAGAACAAAATATGAAAATAACAATAACAAAGAACAAATATGAAAATTACAATAACAAAGAACAAATTTGAAAATAACAATAACAAAGAACAAATATGAAAATAACAATAACAAAGAACAAATATGAAAATAACAATAACAAAGTATGAAAATAACAATAACAAAGAACAAATATGAAATAACAATAACAAAGAACAAATATGAAAATAACAATAACAAAGAACAAATATGAAAATAACAATAACAAAGAACAAATATGAAAATAACAATAATGATATAACAATAATGATATCGGTAATAATGATAATCACAATAACAATGATAATAGTAAAGATAATAGTATTAACAATTACAATAATGATAATGATGATGAAATGATGAAAATAATGTTAGTGATAATGATCAATAATGATAATGAAAATAATATCAATGATAATAACAATGAAAATGATAATGATGATAATGATAATAGAAATGATGGTGATAATGACAATGATAATAACAATGGTAATGGCAACTATAATAATAATGATAATGACAATAATCATGATAATGATAATGATAAAACAAAAATTAAAATATTGACAATGACATTGAGACACTACCGAAAACATAATAATAAGATTAATGATAATAATAAAAACATTAATAATGATGATGATAATATTGATATTACTAATAGTAATAATAATAACAATAAGGATAATAATAACAACAACAATAATAATGATAATGATAATAATAACAAAAAAATAAATAATTATAAAATGATAATAATAATAACGATAAATAGAAAAACCACCTTCCAAATATTAATATTGATGATAATGATTAATAATAATATAATGATAATAATAACAATGATTAATAATGATAATAATGAAAATAATAATTAATGATGAAAAT